AAAAAAAAAAGAAAGACAGGGTCTTGCTCTGTCATCCAAGCTGGAGCGCAGTGGTGCCATCTTGGCTTACTGTAATCTCTGCCTCCCAGCTTCCAGCAATTCTCATGCCTCAGGCTCCCGAATAGCTGTGATTACAGGTGCGTGCCACCACACCCAGCTAAATTTTTGGTATTTTTAGTAGAGATGGGGTTTTGCCATGTTGGCCAGGCCAGCCTTGGACTCCTGGCCTCAAGTCATCTGCCTGCCTCAGCCTCCCAAAGTGTTGGGATTACAGGCGTGAGCCACCACGCCTGGCTTTCTTTTTTTTAATATATAGGGTCTCTCTGTCTCCCAGGCAGGAGTGCAGTGGCAGGATCACAGCTCACTGCAGGCTTGATCTCTTGGGCTTAAGGCATCCTTGCGAGTAACTGGGACTACAGGTGTGCATCACCACACCAGGCTAATTTTTTGATTTTTCAGAGACAAGGTCTTACCATGTTGCCCAGGCTGGTCTCAAACTCCTGAGCTCAAGCAGTCCTCCTGCCTTCGCCTCTCAAAGTGCTGGAGACATAGGCATGTGCCACTGCACCCAGCTCAGGGCAGGATTTTTGAAGGGGGAGAAGTTGGGGACCTGCGACCTGGTGCTTGTGGACAATTTGTCCTAACCCAGGTGATGGCAACAGAGTTCCCAGACACTCTCTTCACCTGCAGCCTGGGCTCGTTGAAGGGTTGGAGGTGGGGGCAGGGGCCTGGCCCATCCTTGCCCATCCTGGCCAGAGGGAGCAAATGTTTTGCCCTCCCCTGAATGTTGCAAGCTTCTTCCTCTTTCTTAGAGATGGGTGGGGAGGGCTTCCCATCCTGGTAACCTTCTCCCCAAATATGGGTGGGGTGCCCACATTTCAGGCAAGTGTAGCCTCCTTTGGCCTTCTCCACCCAGGTTAGGCAATGCCCCCTTCCTGCCCCCTCCCTCTGTGAGCCTTCTGGTTTCCTTGTCCCTCCCCTCTCTCTAGTAAACAACAACAACTTTTCTCTGAACCCAGCCCCTTAGCTTCTGAGCTTCTCCCTGACCTTCCTCATCTCTGGGACCAGAGGTGTGGCATGGGTCTGAAGGAGCCTGGCATCTCCCTCCTTCTGCAGAGCTGGGGCTGCCTGGTGGACAGAGCTCCTGAGCTCTGGGTAGGAAAGCATGACAGATAAAATTGTCACATGCCTGGTCTCAGAGATGGAGGCAGTTTAGTTTTCCCTGCTTTTCTGGCTTTAGGGCTGGTGCTGAGGGTGAGGCATTTCCTGGGAGAGATGACAATCCATGGTCCTCTATTCCTGCAGGAGCAGTGGTCTGCCCTGGCCTGCCCACACCCTTTTTGTAGGAATCCTTGCTGATGAGGCTTCCTCCCACCAAACAAAGGTGTTGGGTCCCTCCTCCCCCATCATCCTTCTCCCCAGATGGGGAGGAGGCAGCACCGTAGGTGGCCTGGGTATGCCCTTCAGAGACCTAGTAGCCTATGGGACCAACAGAAATTGTCTCCAGGTCATTGTGGGGAGGTCTGGGTATTTGTAGTGCTACAATCTCCCTGGGAGCCAGGTGGGAGTCCTAGAGATGGTACAGCGATTCTCTCCCGCCCCCTAAGCCGGCCCCTGGGGCTTAGTCTCTGAAGACTGGTGTTTACTGTGGAGGTCTGGGATTCTGTGTGCACTATGGGGAGGGTCATGGTTGTGTGTATTTTGGGGGTGGGGTCATGGTTGGGTGTGTGTTGGGAAGGGGATTAATGACTTGTGTGTATTGGGTGAGAGGGTTAGAGAGCTGAGAGTGTTTTGGGAGAATTAAATCCAGAGCTGAGGAGGGAGAGTCAATTTGTCTGTGTGTTGGGGCCGGGGGTGTGTGACTTAGGGCATAGACTGCTTAAAGAGGAGTAGTCTTTGGTTTGGGTTCTTACTGTTCTTCCTGGCCAGAGGGGAAAACTGATCTGCCTTTTTTGTTCAGCCTGGGAATTCCATGGGCAAAGGAGTCTGACTGGGGGGCTGTGGAGTAGGCATTGTAGTGATGAGTTTAAAACTTGGACACTGGGCCAGGCGTGGTGGCTCACACCTGTAATCCCAGCACTTTGGGAGGCCAAGGCGGGCAGATGACCTGAGGTCAGGAGTTTGAGACCAGCCTGGCCAACATGGTGAAACTCCATCTCTACTAAAAATGAAAAAACTAGCTGGGCGAGGTGGTGCGTGTCTGTAATCCCAGCTACTCAGGAGGCTGAGGCAGGAGAATTGCTTGAATCCGGGAGGCGAAGGTTGTAGTAGGCTGAGATCGCGCCCCTGCACTCCAGCCTGGGGGATACAGCGAGATTCTGTCTCCAAAAATAAATTAATAAATAAATAAAACTTGGACTCTGGCTAGGTGCAGTGACACATGCCTGTAATTCCAGCACTTTCAGAGGCTGAGGTGGGGAGTTGAGCCTAGGAGTTTGAGACCAGCCTGGGCAACATAGCGAGACCCTGCCTCTACCAAAGAGAAGAAATTAGCTGGATATGGCAGCACGCACCTGTAGTCTCAGCTAGCTACTCGGGAGGCTGAGGTGGAAGGATCGCTTGAGCCTAAGAGGTTGAGGCTAAAGTGAGCCAAGATCATGCCACTGCACTTCAGCCTGGGTGACAGAGCAAGACTCTGTCTCAAAAACAACAACTTGGACATTTGTGTCACTTACTACTTGCTGATAACCTCTCAGAGCATGTTTCTCTTTTTGTTTTGTTTTGTTTTTCCTTTTGTTTTGAGACGGAGTCCTGCTCTGTCACCCAGGCAGGAGTGCAGTGGTGCAATCTCTTAGCTCTCTGAAACCGCCACCTCCCAGGTTCAAGTGATTCTCTTGCCTCAGCCTCCCGAGTAGCTGCGATTACAGGCACCTGCCACCACACTGGTCTAATTCTTTTGTATTTTTAGTAGAGATGGTGTTTCGCCATGTTGACCAGGCTGGTTTCGAACTCCTGACCTCAGGTAATCTGCCTGCCTTGGCTTCCCAAAGCGCTGGGATTACAGGTATGACCCACCGTGCCTGGCCTCATTTTTTTTTTTTTTTTTGAGACAGGGCCTCAAAATGTGGCCTGCTGGTCTCGAATTCCTGAGCTCAAGGGATCTGCCTTCCTTGGCCTCCCAAAGTGCTGGGACCACAGGCGTGAGCCACTGCGCCCGGGCTGAGAATGGTTCTTCATCTGTAAAATAGGGATATTACCAGAACCTACCTCAGAGGGCTGCAGATTAGGCAAGATCATCGACTACTACCTTCGCTCTGTGCCTTGCATGTGACCTGATGCCATGGGACCCCGACCCTTTGTAGGTGGGAGCTGGAGAGAATGGAATGCTAACATCTATAGAGCACCTACTGTGTGTCAGGGGCTTTGTCTGTGTTTCACAAATCTTAATCCCTGCAATTCTGGAAGAGGGACATTATCCCCACTTACACAGAGGATACAGTGCTCGGGGAGGTTAAAGTACTGCAGAATCATGACTGTAGGATTGTAAAGCCAGTCTGTTTTCCACCATCCAGAATAGGTAGAGGGGATTGTAGGGCATACTCTTGGGTGTGGGAAGCGTGGGGAGTGGGGTTCACTGCTGATTGAAACCCCCTCCCTCACTGCAGAGGCCCTTTCTCTGCCTTAGAACCTGCCTTCCCCCGGTAGGGGGCGTAGGGAAGGCCCAAACCATACCCCGTCTTCTCTGTTTTGGATCCTGAAGGCTGGAGGGAAAGAAAGATAAGGGGCCTGGGCCAGATCTCCTTCCTGTCCTGGAAGCTGTGGATACAATCTGTTCACACCATCCCCACCCCCAAATCTGCCCGCTGTAGCCCACGGGAGTTTGCAGAACTCAGCGGGCACCCTCCCCCCCATCTCCAGACAGACACGAAGGAACAGAGTGTAAAAGCCACAGTTCTTATTCTTATTTTGTTTCAATTTGTGGATGGAGGCAAAGAAGTTGCAAGCAATCAACAGAGGAGCTAGGGATGGGAGCCCCAAAAGGGTGGCTGCATATTTGCTTTGTGTGCCTAGAGACTGGAGAGTGCCTGAGGGTCTGGGTGAGCCCCAGCAGAAGGCAGAAAGGAGGAGGCTGTGTCCTTCCCTTCTTCCTATCCTCTGCCACTTCCTCCCTGTTGCAGTCTCTGCATCCTCCCTCCCTCCCTGCTTCTCACTCTTTCCCTGGACAATAGGAGGGACATAGCTCAAGGGGAGGGTACTGCCTAGCAATGCCTATCTTGTTGGCCAAAATGTAGAGTCAGCCAAAAGGCCATTACATGGAGTTTTTAATGAATATGGGGTCCCTCACCTTTCATCTCCCAGGAAGGATAATGCACAGGTTCCCTCTGGACAAGATCCCAGCATGCACTGGGGGAGGGGACCCGGAAGGAAGCCCTTCTTCCTTTGAGGTGGGTGAGGGCGGGAGGTATCATGTCTACCCCATGCCAAGGGATGTGTTGCCTATGGGGCTGTGCCAGTGAAGGCCTGACTGCCCTGTGAGGGAGCAGTGTCTGCAGAAAGAGGAAGTGGTTCCCGTCTCTTAAGTGATTTTGGGGCAGTGCCTTCCTCTTCCTCCTCCTCTATGGAGTTGGGGCACTGCCAGTGAGTCAGGCCTCCCAGGGTAGATTGGAGGCCACTCAACCTTTGGCTGTCAGAAATAGAGGTGCTCCCCTCCCCATTTTGGCTTCTGGGTTGCTGGAAACCTCAAGCAGCCCACAGACCAAGGGCTTTCCATGGGCAGGAGTCTTAAAGGACAGTTCTTCCTGTGTGGCCTTGGGCAGGTCACTCAAGCTCTCTCCGAATCCGTTTCCTTCTCTTTAAAGCAAAACGTCTGGCCAGGCACGGTGGCTGTAATCCCAGCACTTTAGGAGGCCAAGGTGGGAACACCGCTCGAGCTCAGGAGTTCGAGACCAGCTTTGGCAACATGGCAAAACCACATCTCTACAAAACATACAAAAATTAGCTGACATGCTGGTGTGTGCCTGTAATTCCAGCTACTCGGGAGGCTGAGGCATGAGAATCACTTGAACCCTGGAGGTGGAGGTTGCAGTGGGCTGAGATCACACCACTGCATTCCAGCCTGGGCGACAGAATGAGACTCTGTCTCAAATAAATAAATAAAGTAAAGCAAGACTTCTGATCCTTCCCTGGCTGGGCAAGTTGCTGTTAGGCCATGGTGGCCCACTTCCTGCTGAGGCCCTTGGTGAGTTTCACATACCCAGCAAGGCTGTGATAGTGAGGGGCAGGGTAGAGCTGGGCACTGTCTTGGGGGATGGCACCACTCTGTACTGGGACCCAGTGTCCACCTGGCACTGGGCCTCATGATTTCCTGTTTCTTGTCCCCTCCAGATGGGGTTGGGGACAGGAGGAGGCCCTGCCTGGCACAAGTGGGGGCCAGTTCAGCCCGCACCTGCTGAGGGCTTACTAAACGCAAAGCCCTGAGAAGGAGCTGAGGGAGGGATAAGGCTGAGCAGGATGGGGCCCCAGGCCTGCAGACAGCTGCTACCAGAGGCCCCCCAGCCGCAGCTGCTGGCCAGAGCCTTCCTTGTTTCCCTCTTCTCCCACTGCCTCAGGACACTGTGTTCTGCTCTGACCTGCCCCATGACCTTGCTGTTGCCCAGAACAGGCCTCTTGCCCTAGCTTCTCCTCTCCAGCTCCGGAAATCCTATCTCTCCTTCAAGGAACATCTTGAATGCCGCCTCTTCCCAGAAATCTTCACAGATGTTCCCCCTTCTTTGCCACACTCTCCCTCCCTACTTAGAATGCCTGTGAATCCTTATTTATTTTTTAACAACACTCATCTCTCTACCATGAAGTTGCTTCTCCCCTGTTCCTGCCGTGAGCTGTAATCATTTGGGACCTCTTTTCCTAACCATGAAGTCTTCGATGGCAGGGAGAGAATCTCAGGTCCCTTAGCATCTTGCAGCTGTGAGCACAGAGCCTAGCTCCATCATTTGAGAGGAAAGATCCCAAGGGCATGGAAGCACTCTGTCCTCTTCCCCGTAGGTCGCATCCACTGTCAAGATTTGCATACCTGCCCCCAGACCCCAGCATTCCATCTGCAACCCTGACTGCACTTCAGGGCCCCACACCCACCTGCCCAGCTGCCCAGTGGACTTCTCTGCTTTGCAGTCTCAGGCATTTCACTGATACATAAGCCGTACACAAGCCTCTTTGCTACCTCCTACCTCACCCCCTGCCACATTGATTTTACCTTTAAAATATCTAGTGAAGCCACCTTCCACCTTCCTCTGTCCATCAGCACTTTCAGTTTCCTAGGCTAAGCCACCCTTGTCTGCTGCCTGGACTGCTGCAGTAGCTTTTACCTGGTCTCTCTTGCCCTCCTATGATCCATTCTTCACACAACTGCTGGAAAGATCTTTTTACACTGTAAATCTGATCTTATCTCTCCTTTGCTTGGAATCTCTCTATGGCTTTTCCTTGCATTTAGGATAAAATCCAAAAGCCTTATTGAAGCCTATAAGCCCGCCCGGTCTGGCCTGAGCCCACCTCTCCAGCCTGGTCTTGTTTACCTTTTCCTTTTGAATTTTATGCTCCATCATCCTAGCCTTCTGCCAATTCCTTGAATGAACTCACCAACTTCTGTAACCCCAGGGCCTTTGCACAGGCTTGCTCTTTTACTGGGACTACACTCGTTTACTGGGACTTGTTCTTTTACTGGGACTACACTCCTTTCTACTCTTTGCCTGACTATCTTATAAACTTTGCCTTACGGTAGGTCTGTTTTATTTTTGTTCTTCTCTAATTTAGTTCAACCTAAATTAGGTGCCTTTGTTAATTATTCAGAGCATAATACCATTATCTCAATTTGCAATTGTGTGTGTATATAGTGATTATTTGCTTAATGGCTGTTGCTCCTTAAGGTCTACCAGGGCAGGTTCCCCAGGGTGTCCACGTAGAAGGTTCTCAGAAAAATACCTTGAATTGGCCTGGCTTGGTAAGAACATGGGCTTTGGCAGCAGAAAGTTAAAACCCCTGCCCTACTCTTTATTATTAGTAATGTGATCTTGGACAACCCACGTAGTCTTGCTGAGACCTGTTTATTTGTAAAACTTATCTCTTGAAGTTGCTGTGAGTATAAAATGACAACGTATATAAGGAACCAGGCCTCCAGAAGAATATCCTTGGGTAGCATGTACATCTCCATTCTTCTTTCTAGAGAGTGCGGTTAATAGGATACCCCCTCCTCCAGGGGTATCTCCTCTCTAGGGTCCTACCCAAGCTAGGCCTTTCTTCCAATGAAACGTGCATCCCGAGGGCTTCCAGGATGAAATAGTCAACGGGAAGGCACCAGCTCCTCCTTTTATCTCTCCAGGGCGGGACAGTGCACCAGGGGCCGATCCTGGTTCCCCAGCTGGGAGACACCCTGGGCGGGGCTTTGCTCACCGGAAGCACGCAGAGCGTGGGGAGGAGAGCCCCCTCTGCTTGTGCTTGTGCTAACAGCACCCGCGCTGCCGCGTCGGGTTCCGGCGGCTGGAGAGTCACACATGATGTCACAGACAATGACACAAACCGGTGTCTCATTCCGACACAACCTCCGAGCTGCACAATGTCACACCCGGGCGCCAACACTTAGCCCAGCGCACTCCAGCCCTACGCCTCCTGCGGCCGCTCTCCTCTCCGAGTCTCCCGGGGAGGTGGCCCGGTCCAGCCGGGCAGGGGGCTCGCAGGCGGGTGATGTCACGGGCAGTGGTGGGTGGGTCACTCGGAGGTGAGGCGCCGCCAGGCGAGTTCAGCGAGAGTTCAGCCGCATTGCATTAGGCAAATGAGGCACAGCCTGGGTGGGGTGTGTGTTAAGGGGAGGACACCAGGACCACCCCCCTCTTCACCGCCCCACCGCTACCTCCACCATGGCTTCACTCGGCTGAGGATTGACCAAACACTGGGGGAGCCTGGGAGCCTGGGAGCCGGAACTGGGACTAGGGAAGACGCCCGCCCCTCTTCCGTCCTAGTCCCCCTGCAACCCCCTCCTCTCCCTGTACTCGGCCTCCCTCTACTATGTACTCCTCCCCTCTTGCCTTTCCCCCTTCCTTCTCCTTTCCTCCCCCTTCCCAGGCTGCCCCCACTCGCCTGTCCACGGGCCGCCTCTCCCTCTCGGTTCCCTGCGTTTCTCCCGCTGCAGCTAGACCCGCCGGGAATGGGTTAAGCCAGGGGCGGCGCCTGGACGGGGCGGGGCAGAGAAAAGGGGGTGGTACCTGGAGGGGAGGGGGCGCGCGAGCTGAGGTTGGGGGGCCGCGGCGCGCACCACCGGAGACCTAGCGAGCCACCGGCTGTCCCTCGCCTGGCAGAGGCGGAACCACGCGGGGTCCCCACCCCCACCCGGAATCCTCGCCACGGAGAATCCCCGGAGAAGCCCGGGAGCCCCAGCGGGGAGGAGGAAGTGCTCATTGACCCCCCTCCCCGCGCTGATCCCGCCCCTGGCCTGCGGACTTGGGGAGCCGCGGGACTCTGCCTCGGACGCCACGAGACTCTGGACGGGAGCCCCCTCGAGGTGAAGCTGCTGAGTTCGCGTTCCCTACCGGGTTTCCCAAGGAGAGCCAAGGGATCCCCAGCTCCCAGCACACACAACTTCACCGCTTCTCACTGGGACTGGCGAAGCTGCCGGCGGACTTAGACGCGGAGACTTCAGGGCAGGGGGCGGCCCCCTGCCCGGGTCACCAGTCAGGGCGAGGGGACGTCTCCTCGCCCCCAGCTGCTTTACTCGGATGGCGCCGCCGGCTGACTGACGGGGGCGGCGCGCAGGACTTCCGAACTCGGACCTCCTGCCTTCGAGGGGGAAGATGTACGAGAGTGTGGAAGTGGGGGGTCCCACCCCTAACCCCTTCCTAGTGGTGGATTTTTATAACCAGAACCGGGCCTGTTTGCTCCCGGAGAAGGGGCTTCCCGCCTCGGGTCCTTACTCCACCCCGCTCCGGACTCCGCTTTGGAATGGCTCAAACCACTGTACGTACCGGCCTCTCCCTCTGCTGCTGCAGGGGGTGGGAGTGGGCGGTAGGGCTTCCACTGCTCCTCAGGGATAGGGATCTTGTCTCTACCTTTCACTTAATCCATGTTGCCCTTGCTGGACAATTGAACCCACCCCCCCCCCCGCCCCGCCCCCAGTAACCCTGAGTGCAATTTCTCAGATTAGGGCTGAGGAACTTTGAGGGTTCCTTTTTTCAAGAAACATTCCTTCATCTCTTGTGTCATTTCTTCCAGGAGAGATGAAGCCCAAGCCCCTTGCCCCCAGTTTATATCGTCTTGTCTGGAATCCAATAGCTTCACAGCAGGCTGGAGGGTGGGGTAAAGGTCTGCTCCCCTCCCCAGATCCCACTCCTGCCAAAGCTCGAGGGAGAGTCCCTTCCTGTGCGACAGCTGCTGCCCCCAGCCCCTGCTCTTGCGTCATTAGAGTGGGTGTCAGGGGAGCACTCGATGTCTTATTGACAGTGGGGTGTGGCAGAGGGGGCAACTTCATCAGACACCCGTCTGCCATCCTAACCAACCTTCCATCTTGGCAAGGTGCACTTGGTCCATGTTGGGGTTGTCCTGGCCCTAGACACTTGGCTGTCATCTTTGAGGCTTTCATCCCCAGGAGTGGAGGGGAGAGAAGCTGCTCTGGTGGGAAGAATCCCTCTCCCCCTAATCCTAATCCGGCTTGTTCTCTGGGGGATGAGTTTGTTTTTGTGGGTCTGGGGCTACTCTGGAAATGAGGACTGCATCCCTTCCCAGCCCTCCCCCCTCCCCTCCCCACCCCCCACCCCCCCACCCCCGCCACCGAGTCCTTTTGTTAACCCGAATTCAGTTGGGAATACGGCTAGGCCCTGGGCTGTCCCTTCCTAAGAGGGGCACTAATGAGAATCCTAGCATCCTGACAGCCTAGTCACCTTTTCTCCTTGTTGACCCCTGCCTGGGTGCAAGCTCCCCTGGGAGGAAGGGCTCTGTGCACACCCAGGAGCTGGGAGCACCAGGGTATACACCTGGGCATTTTCCTGCCTAGCTGTGAGGCAGTATACACTGGGTGGGCTGGAGCAGGCGCAAAGGGGTTATTGTTAGATGGCTCAGGTTTCTTCACCTACTGGACTTTGGGCTCTTTCCTGGGGAAAGCTCTTCCCTGGAGGATCTCCCACCCTCCCAGACCTGCTGCCTCCCTCCTGCCTGCCTGGGAGGAGGGGTGGAGTGGGTCTAGGGGGCCTGGCAGATTGGAGAAGGTTGAAGGGCAAAGGACTTACCGCACCTGAAGCCCCTCTTGCTTCGAGAAGAGAGACCTGAGATGGACAGAGAGCCCACCTCTGTCCTCCCAGAGCCACGTCAATCCCAGCTTTTCCTATTGTCCTGTCCCCGACCTTTGCCTCTGGGGCTGAATCTGCTGTGTGGCTGTAGACAGCAGAGGGAGGATATCCACCGTTGACTTTGGAAGGAGAGAGAGTGAGAGGGTGACTTTAGGACCTTTTTTCTCATTCTCCAAGTGCTGGAGCAAGGCCCCTCTCCTCTAGTGGGATAGTTGGGGCAGGGGCTGCCAGAGTCACCCCTTCCACTGCCTTGGCCACCTTCTCCAGAGGCTGGAGAGAAGCTGGAATCTGAGACCTTGGACTCCAGCCCGTCTCTTCTTAGCCCATGGGGACAGCTCAGCTCTTCCTGGCCCAGAACTGGAGGGGAAGGAGGATCACGGCGTGTAGGACAGTGTATTGGTAAGCCCTGCTTCCCCTAAACCACTGGACACGGCAAAGTGGAGACCTGTCCTCACACCCGTTCTGGGGTGGGGTAGACCTAGAGTTCCTGTAGTCTGAGCGTGGGTTTTCGTATAAGTCAATGAGGTCTCAGTGGACTCAGGTCCTGAGGCTGCAAGGTTGGGGGGGGGGGGGGGGCACTGGAGACTTGCCCCAAGGCACAGGAAGGACCTGGAGTCTGAGGGTGGCAACTAGAGTCCATCTAGAATATGTGAGGCCAATGCCACCGACTTGGAAGGGACCCCTTGGTGTGTGTGGAGGTCCTCTGGTGACTGGAGCCGCCTCCAGCCCCCTCTTGGGGAATTCACTGCCCACTTCACTTCCACTGAAGGTGGGAAGAGCAGGTTGGCTGTCGGAGAAGGCAGCCTCCTGGGTCCTGCAGGGCCCTAGCGACCTTGCCTCTCTCCCCAGATCCCCCATTTCGGTGCATTAGAGGACAAGGGGGGTGCACAGGATGTGGCTCCCCATCTGTCCCCCACCAATCTCAACCACTCACACCTCCGCCCGCTCCCAGACGTCCAAGAATGTGAAGCACGTGGATGCCCGTAGTAGGGGGAGGGAGAGATGCTTATCGGGCGGGCAGCCGCTGTGCTAGGGGCCTTCTTCCGCTGCTGCTGCTGCGCTACATCCAGAGCTACCTCCCCTCCCGCCCCTCCCGACCCCCCCCCTCGCCTCCCCGGGAGGAGGAAGGGCGGTACCGAGGGCCCTGCGCCCCCTCCCCAACCGTCCCCAGGGGCTGCGAGGGGAGCTGCGGAGGAGCGGGCGCCAGCTGGATTGGGAGGGGAGCCGCTGGCCGGGGGCCCGGCTGATTTCCTGCTGATCTCCTCCAGGAAACCGGCCCCTTGTGCGAGCCTGTGAACGGCTCGGGGGCGTGGGGAATCTGGAGTGGAGCGCTCTGCACCACCCGCCCTACTAGGATGGGGGAGCGGGGGAGGGGCACTCTGGCAGCGTTGGCGGGAGGGGACGCCTGGCTTCCTGGGTCAGTTCCAGTCCTCTGCTGGGCGCTGGAACTTTGAGCAGAGAAGGTGTGGTCCTTCTCTAGCCTGAGTGCTAGCGCAGGAAGAGAAGAGATTGGTGGGCTGGGCCTCTGGAGAGGGAGGTTAGCAGGGAGGGGCTAGGCCGGGCCAATCCCTCCCCCGTTGGTGTCCCTCCCCTCTCCACCTGTGTGTGCAGGGTGTTAATGGCTGTGTCCCAACTCCGGCAGAGGCTGTGAGTATCCCGGAGTTCCCCACACCTCCGCCTTGGTCCCTGTACCTCACCTCCTTGGGCTGCTGGCTGGAGGCCTGGGGAGGTGGGGCCTCAAGCTCTGGGTTCAAAGGGCAGAGCAGGGAAACCTCAGAGCTGGGTTACCTGGGTGACAGGTGGGGTTGGGGTAGAGATAGGGGCAGGCTGTGTTACAGCCTCCAAGGCAGCCAAGCTGCCACTGGCTGGGCTCAAAGGAGGCCTCGCCCAGCCCAAACTGTAGCCCTCGCCTCCTGTCATCTCTGCCATTCTGCCAAAAAATAATTTTCAAAAGCACATTCTTTCAGTTCTGTAAACACTCTGTTGGACTTTGCTTAAGCTTCATGTGTTTATGGGTCTGTGCCCTGTAGTCTGTCCCAGGCCTCAGAGCTGTTTAGCCCTCATCCTGGTATCCTCCGTGGCTCCCCATGCCCCAGCTCCCCTCCTGCCACCTCACTCTGTACCTCACAGCTCCCTCAGTCCTTTCTCCCTCTCCAGTCTGGTTCATTTCAGAGGTGGGGCCTGGGGAAAGGGGGAGCCCAGCGCAAATGGTGACTTAGGAGGGGTGGGGAGATCAGTGCCTTCTTCTTCTGCTTGTTGGAATGTTGACCAAGATTCTAGGCCATGGTTCCCCACAACCCTCCACATACCCCCTTGCCCTTGACCCCCCCTCCAACCAGTCTGGATTGTCTATTGTTACTGCTTTTACGTCTTGGAAAAAGTTAGCACAACAAAGGGCTCCTTTGTCGCTCACCCCCTCTGCCTCCTGGCCTCACCCAGGCCCCCCAACCCTACCCCCCAGCAGCTGTTCTCAGGGCTCTCAGCCTGTCTCATTTGCTTGTCTGGCCTGGGGAGAATGAAGTGGGAGAAAACCAGGCCAGGGCAGTTGGTGTTGGGGTGAGGAGCAGACGGTGGAGGGAGGTCAGAAGAGAGTCTACTGAGCTGGGGGGGCTTGTGGGCATCAACTGTGGCTTTGCTGCAGGCTGCTCTGGGGGCAGGGAAGGGGATGTGGGACTGTAGCAGTGCTGGTCAGCCAGGCTGGCCAGGGAAGTGGCACCCAGGCACTACTAAGAGCCAGGAAAGCCCTGCCAAAGTTGTTGGCATGGTTCCGTTATCAGCCACCTAGGAGCCCCCATTGTGTCTGCAGGTAAGTGGGGAGGGTGGTAACACATAGCTCCTGGTGTTCCCATGCTTCCTTCCTCTGTGCCCCAACTTTAGGGCCGTGTGATTTGGGGCCATGTTACTCATGTCTTTAAGGTGCTTGGGCCAGGAGCTGCAGGTACCTTTAAACGCCAGCCAGAATCTCATGTGCTGTATTTTGGGGTAGGGCTAGGTAGGATTATGAGATATGGGAGGAGGCAGGGATCTGTCTACTCAGGGAGGTGTCCTCACCCATCCTTGGCCCTGAACATGTTGACTTGAACATGGTAAAGGCCTTAGGATGATACTGGGTGGCCCCTTGGGAATCTGGGATTGTCTTGGTCATGGTTCTTAGCTTGCACCCAACACCCTTAGCTGCCCAGGCTTTAGACACAGACAGCCCCTACCCAACCCAGCCCTGTTCTGCCTCCAGTGATGGGCATGGTGCCAGGCACTGGGGAGGTTTTGGCCAGTGAGGGCTGCCCATGCTGTCTGGGTCACCCCTCCTGGCTGCCCTCTTGGAGCTGAATAACACAAGGGGAGGGGCAGTAATCCGGACATAGTATTGAGGCCAGACAGACAGAGCATTGATGGGAACAGACCCCCTTTGTCATGCCATCTCTCCCCACATGAGGGGTACCCAGAATGATGGGCTTCTGGGGCCCCAAGGACCCTTCTCCCTGTATTTAGGGTGTCTCCTGCCTATCTCAGGGGGACCCCTCCTGCTCTGCCCAGCATTTGTGACTCTTTGCACCCCCTGCCTTGGGTCCCTGGCCCTGGGATTGTCTGGGTGGAGGAGGGCCTATGGCTGCTGGCAGAATGGGGTGGAAGGGGGAGTGGAAGCAGAGGGAGCAGGGGAGTGGCTGGCTTTGAATATCCTGTTGACCCCAGTTTCCTCTGCCCCCAGCTTGTGTCCTCTTCCCTCCCTCTTCAGGCCTTAACTCCTTCCTAACTCAGAGGAGAATGGGTCCAGGTCACCCAAGGGCAGGAGCTTTAGGGTCAGGTTGACCCCCACCCCTACTCCCCAAGCACAGTCATGGCACACATGCAAATCTGATGGTTTATCATCATATCTTTGTGTTTTTGAAGGTGGGGGTCCTAGGAGTCTGTAGGAGTGATGGGGCACTGGAGGCCTCATTGGCAGCCTCCTTCCCTGAGTCTGGCTGGGGAGTCCCAGTTTTCCTAAGACTTGAATCCTGCCAGCAGTGGTGAGGCTGGGAGAGGATCATAGGAGAGACCAGCTCTTGGAGGAAGGGTGGGGCTCAGTACTAAGGATGGCGACCTAGGTCTCTAACTGCCCCTCCCCTCTTCTTTCTCCAGCCATTGAGACCCAGAGCAGCAGTTCTGAAGAGATAGTGCCCAGCCCTCCCTCACCGCCCCCTCTACCCCGCATCTACAAGCCTTGCTTTGTCTGTCAGGACAAGTCCTCAGGCTACCACTATGGGGTCAGCGCCTGTGAGGGCTGCAAGGTGAGTTGAAGGGGTCATTGGGAAGGACAGCTTGATTAGGTAAATGGGATGTCCCCACTTTGGTGTCGTGGGGAGTGTGCAGTTGGGATGGGGGGATGTCCCCGAAGCTGCTGCTCTTGTTTCTCTGTGGAAGCTGACAACAAGCAGGACACCTGCTGTAGGACCTCCTCTGTAAATGTAAAGGGCTCCCTCAAACCAGAGGCCCCTCCTGCCTCAGCTCCTTTCCCTGTCTTCATCCTCCAGCTGGCAGGGCATACGCCTGCTCTGCCACCGCTGCCCAGGTTGCCATGGTGAGCTGGCTGCCAACTGGCTCTTGGCTGGGGACCCAGGAGTCCTCCCCCAGCGGCCCTGCCTGAACCTCACTATGGCAGCCTGGCAGGAGGCAGTTAGGAGCAGGCACCCTGCCTTGGCTTCCCCTTCAGGTGCCCAGGCTATGGGCTCCCCAGTGTCTGGCTGAATTTCCCCACCCTCGTGTTAGGCGCCAGGGTGCAGATGTAACCGTTCCTTCTCAGTAGCTCTTTGCCTGGCTTCTCCTCCTTTCCCCAGGACCTGAGCCTCTGTGTGGGTTTCTCCCTCCAGAGATTGGGGCTCAGAGGCTTACAGCTTTGGGCCTTGTGGCTCTGGGCTGCCCTTCAGCCTGGAATAGCTATCCCCAGGTGTGAGACGGAGGTCAAGGGCAAAGCGCAAGGCTTCAGGCTGTGTGTCTTCTTCTGTCTGGTTGTCCCTGATCTGTTTTTCATCTGTCCATCTGACTCTAGTCAGCCTGTATGTGGAGCCCCTGGCCAGTCTGGGTCTGTGTCTGTGTTGGTTGGTGCATGCCTGTCTCGTTGGTGAACCTGCGTGTTTCTGCCTTGCTTCTGAGTGCATGTGTGTGTGTGCGCCTCCATTTCTCTGGCCCCTGTGTCTGCCTCCTGGCCTCTTCCTGCTTGTCTGCTCTTCCTGTGTTCTGAGTTCATGGGTGTGGGTTCCAGATCCCTGGCTGTTTGCAAGGTAGCCCCATGTCTTTCTATTTCTGACTCATCAGCAGCCCTGAGGTCCTTTCCCTGGAAGCGGGGAGTAGTCAGGTGTGTACTGTGAGTTGGGGGAAGACTCCTGCCCGTCCCGCAGCATTGAGGCAGGTACTGGGATTCTCCTGAGGAGGATCCTTTTAGGTGAATCGTCCTCCCCACCTTTTCTGGCTTGCCCAGGTAGGCGATGGGCAAAGGCTAGGGGCAGCAGCTGGCCTGGCCCTCTTCCCCCTAGACTGAGACTGTAGCCAGGCACTGCTCCCACTGTGGGTGTGGACAACCTGACTCCCTTCCCTCCATACCTAGGGCTTCTTCCGCCGCAGCATCCAGAAGAACATGGTGTATACGTGTCACCGGGACAAGAACTGCATCATCAACAAGGTGACCCGGAACCGCTGCCAGTACTGCCGGCTGCAGAAGTGCTTCGAAGTGGGCATGTCCAAGGAGTGTGAGTGCCATGGGGCAGGGGCCTCAGGTGCTCCTAAAGACCAAGGGAGCGGGGCTCTGTGGATGTGTGTGCACATGCATGAACACGCATGCCGTGAGCGTGGGCTCACGGTTGAGGGTGGTTTGTGTGTAGCTGCAAGGACCTGTCTGCAAGTCTGCCTGTGTGTCTAGGTGTAGGTCTGTGCTCCAGGAGCGTGTATGTGTGACTGTTCTGTTTCTGCACGTCTGGCTGTGTGTGCTTGCTTATGTGTGCATGTGTACTTGCTCCAGGATGGCTTTCTTCCAGGCTTCGCTTGGCCTTGGGGTGGGGCTCAGCGGCATAGTCGGTCCCTTCTGATTGTGAGTCTTAGGGGAGGGGCTTGAATTCTGAGGGGTGCTGGGCTGGACTTAGGTGTGTATCGGGGAGTGGAGGGGCTGGCACAAGGATCCAAAGCCATTGTCTGGTTAAGTCTGGGATCCAGAGTTAGAAGAAATAATTGAGACTTCTTAGATCCCAGAGGAAATGGGGTTTCCACTTTGGGCTCAGCTGAGGCCTGATGGAGGGAGGGAGGGAGGGAGGGAAAGGCAGGACAGGGAGACCCTCTTGTGTTGAATCATGAGTGTTGCCGTGGTGACCGGTGATTGATGATGTCAGAGATAAATGACGCTGACAGACGCCTCCTTGTCTGCGTGGCCGTTGCCATGGAGCCTGAGCCTTGGGGGTTGGGATGGGGGAGGGGGCTGCAGGACCCCCTAGCCCTTTGTGGGGAGGGGGCACTGGAGAGATGGTTTTGACTGTTGCACGAAGAGCCCCAGACAGGAGTGGAGGGGACTGAAGGATCCTGCCACAGGAGCCTGGGGGTGCCTTGTCCTGAGCCCAGGAAGTGGTGGGTGCCCACTGCAAGAGTGGGAGACAACTCAGACCCACAAGCTTGGAACCCTTCATTGAAAGGCTGTCACCTCCTCCTTCCTCTGGGTTTGTGCCACCTTCTGCTCTTTCCATGGCAGAAGGACCAGGGTGGGGACCCCCTCTCCCTCCCACCACCAACTCCCCCTCTCCCTCCTACCACCAGCTCCCCCTCTCCTGGCTGCTCTGTGCCCCGGAGCTGAGCAGCTGCCATTTCAATAGAATTAAAGCTTCCGAATGATAAACGTCTTGTCACAGCTGCAATTTTCTCTTCCCAAATTATCCCCCCACTCTCCCTCTCCCTCTCCCTTTTCTCCCCTGCACTTTATTGAATTTGCAGAATCGACATGAGTGATCTCCAAATTATGCCAGCTACCCCCTCCTCGCTACCCCCTCCCTGAGCCCCTCCCCCACCCTCCCTTCCTCCCTCGTCAGCAGCCGCCACCACTGGCCCTGTGAGTGATTGTGTGTCTGGGATAATCGGCTGGTAACGACGACCCCATCGCTTCTTTAAAGCTGAGTGGTGTGTGCGGCTCAGCGCCCCTGGTGATTTGTCAGCTCCCCAGCTAATGGGGCGAGAGATTCTCCCCGCCAGGCCCCTCACTCTCAGGCTGGGGAGCCCTACTCCCCGCCTACCCCAGGAGCTGCTTAGAGCCAGTCCCAAGGGACCCCCAGGGAGACTGCAGCTGGGAGGGCTGGGCGAGTGGAGGCGGGAGAAGGACCTTTGCGTGGGGGACAGCACACAGCCAGCTGCGGGGTTTGTGTCCAGGGCCACAGCTCTGCTCATGGGGCTCCTGGGCAGAACTTGATGCGTGGGTTGGGTGGGCATAGAGGGCCGGAGTGCGTGGCGATGTCTTGCCTGCTTATGCACGCGTGCTGTGTGCGCATGCTTAAAGCTGGGGGTGACCTCCTCAGCAGCTGGTAGCTCTCTGTCAGGCTGGGGGTGGACGAAGCCCTGAGCAGCCTGCAGCTGCCCTCTAACCCCCTCTGCCTTCCACAGCTGTGAGAAACGACCGAAACAAGAAGAAGAAGGAGGTGCCCAAGCCCGAGTGCTCTGAGAGCTACACGCTGACGCCGGAGGTGGGGGAGCTCATTGAGAAGGTGCGCAAAGCGCACCAGGAAACATTCCCTGCCCTCTGCCAGCTGGGCAAATACACTACGGTATGGCTTTCCCCCGGCCTGCAGGGTGGGAGGTGCCCAGGGCCACAGGGCCAGGACGGGCCCCTCTCGGGCACCCCTTCTTGTGCCAGGCATTTCCTCTTCCCCTCTGGCTGGTTTGCTGCGTTCTTCCCTTCCCCTCTCTTCTCCCTCCCCCGCTGCCTCTTCCCAAGGAGCTCTCAGGAAGTGAAGGCCAGGTAGAGGGCAGGCCTGTGGGGGCTGGCAGAGCCAGGCCGAGAAGGGGTGCCATGGAGAAGAAGGCCCTCACTCTCCCTCCTCCCCCAGAACAACAGCTCAGAACAACGTGTCTCTCTGGACATTGACCTCTGGGACAAGTTCAGTGAACTCTCCACCAAGTGCATCATTAAGACTGTGGAGTTCGCCAAGCAGCTGCCAGGCTTCACCACCCTTACTATCGCCGACCAGATCACCCTCCTCAAGGCCGCCTGCCTGGACATCCTGGTGAGGGTCTGCACCCTGCCCCCCAGGACTGCCCCTGTACCTTGGGTGGATGTCCTTCCAGCCAGACAGCCACCCTCCTAAATGTCTGTCTGCAATCATCTGTCCAAATGCCCGCCACCCACATGTCTGCCCTTCCTCTCCCCATGTCCATGTGTCCACTTGACTCCCTGTCCACTCAGCCACCCAGCAACCAGATGTGCAGGAGCTCACTTGTTCACCATACACACATCCAGCCACCCATCCATCCAGCCATTTAGTCGGTAATAAAGATTTACCTAGGGGCCAGGTGCAGTGGCTCATACATGTAATCCGAGCACTTTGGGAGACTGAGGCAGGAGGATCGCTTGAGGCTGGAAGTTCAAGACCAGCCTGGGCAACATTGTGAGACCTGTTTCTGCAAAAAGTTAAAAAGATTCACCTAGGACCCTCTGGCCAGTGGTTGAGCTGGGTGTCGGGAACCCAGCGGTGAATGCACCACCATCCCCTCTTGAACACCTTCCATGTGAGGCAACAGATAAGTCAACAGAAGTTGCAAAACTGTGATCAATGCTACCTGGAGATGGGGGGAGGGCTCATGACTGCTTGGGCCTGAAGGATGATGTCTCAGAGGAAGTGACATCTAGGGGTTTGTAGAAGGGGCAGGTGAGAGGGTAGCCCTAACTTAGGAGCAGGAAGTGAAAGACTTGTTGCTGTAAAGCCATGCTGAGCTCAGGAGACTGCCTGGTACTCGGTCTCCTGTACCAGGGTGGCAGTGGCTTGGGCTGGAGGCCGGATGCAGGGGGTGGGGGCCGGAAGAGGCAGTGGGAACTGCAGTGTCCTCCCTGCTGTTCCTGACAAGGACTCAGTACACCTGTTCCCTCTTGGCCTACTCCAGGGTTGGGGACTTGGGATTTGATGAGGCTGTCATTTCTTTCTTTCTTTTTTTTTTTTTTGAGAGTTTCACTCGTGTCACCTAGGCTGGAGTGCAATGGTGCGATCTCGGCTCACTGCAACCTGCGACCTCCCCCTCCCGGGTTCAAGCGATTCACCTGCCTCAGCCTCCTGAGTAGCTGGGATTATAGGCACCCACCACCACGCCTGGCTAATTTTTGTAAATTTTTTGTAGAGATGGGGTTTCACCATGTTGGCTGGGCTGGTCCTGAACTCCTGACCTCAGGTGATCCGCCTGCCTCGGCCTCCAAAATGCTGGGATTACAGGCGTGAGCCATGTCGCCTGGCAGACTGTCATTTCCTTGTGGACGCCTCCGAATGTTGAGGCAGGTGATGGGTGGGAGGTATAGAGTGTTCTGTCTGCAGGGGCTCCCATCCCCACACCCCAGATGCAGGAGGCATGGTCTGGGTTCATGCAGCATGGTTCAAGCCCATACACATTTACTGAGTGCCTGTTGTGTGCCCCATCCCGAGAGCTGTAGGCAGCAGCCCAGTCCTTAGCTCCTGGAAATTCTAGGCCCCCTCTAAATCCTCTGTGTAGAGGCAGGATGCCTAGACCTGCGCTGTCCAGTACAGTAGCTGCTTGCCTCGTGTGACTATTTAAATTCAAATTAATTAAAATTAAACTCAATTCAATTCCTCAATTGCATTAGCCACATTTCAAGTACTCAGTAGTTGCATGTGGCTGGTGGCTGAGGTACTGGATGGTGCAGACATAGAACCTTTCCATCATTGTAGAAAATTCTGTCAGACAGCGTTGCTCTGGCTGCTGCCAGGTGGTCCTCCGGGAGTGCTGGTGCCAAGTGCTCTGAGTAGGTGGGGCTCAGTCCCTGAACCCGTGCATCCTCTGCACCCAGATCCTGCGGATCTGCACGCGGTACACACCCGAGCAGGACACCATGACCTTCTCGGACGGGCTGACCCTGAATCGGACCCAGATGCACAACGCTGGCTTCGGGCCCCTCACCGACCTGGTCTTTGCCTTCGCCAACCAGCTGCTGCCCCTGGAGATGGATGATGCAGAGACAGGGCTGCTCAGCGCCATCTGCCTCATCTGTGGAGGTGGGCAAGGGGCCTGGGTCTGGGGGCTGAGCTGGGACGAGAGTGCAGCCCTGGGAGACTCTTCCAGGGGACTCTTTCAGGCTGCCTCTGTCAGGCCCCTCTAGAGGGCAGGGTCTGGTCTGCAGCTACACAGCAAGGGGGCCGTGCGGGGCCTGGACTCCTGTTCCTGTTTTCTGGGCAACACTCCTTCTAGGGAAGTTAAGAGTTAGGGTTTGAGGGTCGAACCTCCCAGGGTCACCTCCTGGCCGGTGTGTGACCTTGAACAGGCTGCCTCTGAGCTTCCGTTTCTGTACAGTGGGGACAGCAACGGTCTGTAGCTCATGAGGTTGATGGGAGGATTATGGTGGTAACAGACTGAGCAGGTGCCCAGAGCAAGCCCCAGTGTATGTTGCTATTTTATTACTGTGATTTCTGCCATTTCATCTGGTTTCCAGAATAACAGGTGGGAGTGGGAGTCAACCTGGGAACCCTCCCCTGTTTGGGGATGGCACTGCCCATTTGGGGTCCCATCCCACGAACTGGGATCGTAGGGAAGGCTTTGGGCACCCCCCACCCTCAGCCCCTTTTTAAGGGCCTCTGTCCCCAGCGGTAGTGAGGACCCCATTCCCTGCCCTGTGTGGGGAGGCGCCTGAGGGCTACCCTCCTCTGTGGCCTGGGCAGGCATGCCCCCAGGTGGCCGAGGCTGGGGATGCAGCTGTGTTCCCAGCTGCTCAGTGGGTGGCTCTGCTTCCTCAGACCGCCAGGACCTGGAGCAGCCAGACCGGGTGGACATGCTGCAGGAGCCGCTGCTGGAGGCGTTGAAGGTCTACGTGCGGAAGCGGAGGCCCAGCCGCCCCCACATGTTCCCCAAGATGCTGATGAAGATCACCGACCTGCGAAGCATCAGCGCCAAGGGTGAGGCTCCCAGACCTGGAGGGGTGCTGGCCCCTGACACCTGGCCCAGGCCCCCACATCCAAGCCAGCAGCCTGCGTCTTTGTGGAGGACAATGAGACACCTGCCCCATCTGTGTCTAGGCCGAGGTCCCCCAGTGACTGCATCGTGCCCAGGTGGCCTGGCTGTGTCACCTTTGTGTGGTAGTTCAGGTCATGGCTCTGGGACCAGACACGTGGGTGTGTGTCCTTGTGCGGGTCACTTAACTGCTCTGAGCCCACAGTTTCCCTTCTGAGGGGTGGGGATAACATTAATGTTTACAGAGGAGTCAGGATAATCCCTAACGCACAGAATAGAGGGAGGAAGGGCTCGGTATCAAGCCGAGCCTGGCAGTCTGGCCCTAGACAGAGTTCAGGACCACTTTGCCCGATTGCCACCAGCCTCTGGACTTGGGGGCTTAAGAGAGCTGGTTCATGTCAAAGAACTGAATTCCAAGAAAGATGCTAATATCAGTAGGATTGATCTTCTCACCTCGAGCCAGGCTTGCTGGGGCTGGGGTGGGAGGGCTGGCTCAGCATGCTGACCTCTGTCCCCTCCTTTCCTGCAGGGGCTGAGCGAGTGATCACACTGAAGATGGAGATCCCGGGTTCCATGCCGCCTCTCATCCAGGAAATGCTAGAGAACTCAGAGGGCCTGGACACTCTGAGTGGACAGCCGGGGGGTGGGGGACGGGACGGGGGTGGCCTGGCTCCCCCGCCAGGCAGCTGTAGCCCCAGCCTCAGCCCCAGCTCCAACAGAAGCAGCCCGGCCACCCACTCCCCGTGACTGCCCACGCCACATGGACACAGCCCTCGCCCTCCGCCCTGGCTTTTCTACCGACCATGTGACCCCTGCCAGCCCTGCCCCCACCTGTCCTCCTGGGCAGTACTGGGGACCTTCCCTAGGGGACGGGGAGGGAGGAGGCAGCGACTCCTTGGACAGAGGCCTGGGCCCTCAATGGACTGCCTGCTCCCACAGCCTGGGCTGACGTCAGAGGCCGAGGCTAGGGCCGGGAACTGAGTGAGGCCCCTGGTCCTGGGCCTCAGGATAGTTCCTGGGGGGCCTCGTGTTCATCAAGACACCCCTCTGCCCAGCTCACCACATCTTCATCACCAGCAAATGCCAGGACTTGGCTCCCCCATCCTCAGAACTCACAAGCCATCGCTCCCCAGCTGGGGAACCTCAACCTCCCCCCTGCCTTGGTTGGTGACAGAGGGGGTGGGCCAGGGGCCGGGGGTTCCCCCTGTACATACCCTGCCGTACCAACCCCAGGTATTAATTCTCGCTGGTTTTGTTTTTAATTTTTTTTTGGTTTTGATTTTTTTTAATAAGAATTTTCATTTTAAGCACATTTATACTGAAGGAATTTGTGCTGTGTATTGGGGGGAGCTGGTTCCAGAGCTGGAGGGGGGTGGGTCCTGGGGGAGGGCGTGGCTCAGAAGGGGCCCCCACTCTCCTTTCATGTCCCTGTGCCCCCCAGTTCTCCTCAGCCTTTTCCTCCTCAGTTTTCTCTTTAAAACTGTGAAGTACTAATTTTCCAAGGCCTGCCTTCCCCTCCCTTGCGCTGGAGAAGCCACCAGCCCCCTTTCTCCGTCTGCCTGACCACTGGGTGTGGACGGTGGGGGACAGCTCCGGAAGGACAGGCTCCTGGCCTTGGCATCTGCCTGTACATGAGGCGTGGAGTCGGGGCAGAGCAGGGGACCCAGCAGAGTTTTCCCAGACCTGGCTCTACCGAGAGCTGCCTTCCATCAGGGCCCACATCATCCAAGCTCTCCAGCCCCCACTGTGAAGGGGCTGGCCAGGGGCCTGAGCTGCCCCTATCCCCAGCCTCAGCCACCAGCACCCCCACAGGGCCCCCAGACACACCCACACGTGCACACACACACACACACACACTATGGACAGTAGATGGGCCAACACACACTTGGCCTGAGTTCCTCCATTTCCCTGGCCTGCCCCCCATCCCCCACCTGTCCCACTCCTGTGCCCCCTCCTTGCCCCGCAGGACGGGCCTACAGGGGGTCTCCCCTCACCCCTGCACCCTTGGCTGGGGGAGCCGGCTCTGCCCTGACCTCCTCCACCCGGGGTTGGGACCCCTTCCCCTGGAGCCCGCGGGTGCACCTGTTACTGTTGGGCTTTCCACTGAGATCTACTGGATAAAGAATAAAGTTCTATTTATTCTACACACGCCTCCAGCCTCGCTGCCTCCACCCGCTCCTCTTGGTGTCTGGGCTGGGGGCTTGGGATGGGTTTCCTCATGCTCTGGGCCTGTGATGGCCAGGATGAGGACTGGGGCTGGGAGGCTGGCCAGGGCACCCCTCCAAGCTGCCTTCTGAGGCTCACCTTGTGCTGGGATCTTTGGAGACGAGGAGACAGGCCTGCCCCTTGGGAAGGCCTCAGTCTGGGGATCCACACTGCCCATGTCACGGATCCCCGGTCTGGGAGTGGGAGGGGAGAGGAGGAAAGCTGCCCCCACCTTCAGGGAACCCCTAGTCTGAGGGAGGAGGCCGGACCCCACCTCTAGATATTTCTGGTCCTTAGGAAGCCAGAGGCTGGGTCCGGACTTGACCGTCACAGCAGAAGTGACAGATGGCACAGGAGCTGCGATCAGGGATTCACAGAAACCTAAAAAGAGGCCAGGCACGGTGGCTCACGCCTGTAATCTCAGCACTTTGAGAGACTGAGGTGGGCAGATCACTTGAGGTCAGGAGTTTGAGACCAGCTTGACCAACATGTTGAAACCCCGTCTCTACTAAAAATGCAAGAAAATTAGCCGGGTGTGGTGGTGGGCACCTGTAATCCCAGCTAATCTGGAGGCTGAGGCAGGACAATCCCTTGAACCTGGGAAGCAGAGGTTGCAGAGAGCCTAGATCGCGCCACTGCACTCCAGCCTGGGCGACAGAGCAGGACTCAGCCTCAAAACAAACAAACAAACAAGAAAGAAACCTAACAAAAACAGAGGATCGGGATGGAAGTTTAGGGGCCCAGCCCTCTGCCTCCAGAGCAGGTAAGGCTAATTCTGCTAGGGGCGGCCTGCCATTTCTACTTTGGCCACCAGATGGCGAGCAGCACCTTGCTTGACTCACAGGCTGCCCCAGGCCGGAGGCAACCGTAGGCACCCAGGCGCTTTTCCTCCTGTAAATATTTTCTAACATCTTTACGAGTCTGAAATGAAATTTGACATACTGTACCTGTACACGTGATTTCACAAATCAATATCCTGTCACAACCATATTATAATGGCTAAATTGAGGGGCAATGCTATGTGTTTCAGCACATTAATGCCTCTATTTTAAATGAATACATTTGGATTTAAAAGAAGGCTGGAAACCATTCTGTACAAGTAGCCCAGGAAAATTAAAGAGACTAAAAATCAGCATGTTTGATCTATAATAAAACTATGCAAAAAAGGCCCAAATAAAACCCTTAATGTTTTACATGTAAAATAGGTTGTGGGCCCGGGTTTCTCACTTATGCCAATGTCCCAGTGGGACATTCTAAAGTTGTGCCTAAGGCCAGGTGCAGTGGCTCACACCTGTAATCCCAGCACTTTGAGGCAGAGGCTGGTGGATCACTTGAGTCCAGGAGTTCAAGACCAGCCTGGGCAACACGGTGAAACCTTGTCTCTACAAAAATAAAAAATAAAAAATTAGCCTAGCCTGGTGGCATGTGTCTGTGGTCCCAGCTACTTGGGGGCTGAGATGGGAGAGTTGCTGGAGCCCTGGAGGTTGAGGCTGCAGTGAGCCATGATCATGCCACTGCACTCTAGTCTGGGCAATAAAGGGAGAGAGACCCTGTGTCAACAAATGAAAATACAAATAAAGTTGTGCTGGGAAGATTTTTATTTTGAGAGGATATCTTGACATCTGTAGCCCTTGCCCACTAAAAGCCAACGGGTCCCCCATGATTGTGAAAACAAAGCAGTGACCCCCACATTTACAAACTGCCCCTTTGGGTAGTGCCTTTGCTGTTGGGAACCTCTGGGCTTGAGATTGTCCTCAGTGGTCGACAGTTCACTGTTGCTGAATTGCTCAGCTTTGGCACCAATGTGAAGATCTGACTAGGTTGTGGGGGCTGTCCTGTGCACTGTGGGACGCTCAGGAACATCTCCCACCTCCTGCCATGAAATCCTAGTGGTGCTTCTGCCCCACCCCAGTTGTAACACCCAAATGTGACTCCAGACATTGCCAAATGTCCCCTGGGGGGCAAAATCACCCCCAGTTGAGATCCACTGCTGTGGAGTATGGTCCTCCAGGGCTGACCTGCTTTGCACTGAGCCAGCGCCCATCCTCCACAGGGAGACTGAGCTGGAAGGTGATTGGCGTGACACCTGCGCAGGGCTGCAACAGGCTTGACAGGCCTACAGGAGTGCAGGGCGGAGGCACTGAACCAGGCCTGGGGCAGGGCTCAGAAGCCTTCCTGGAAGAGGTTGTCCCTCCCAGCTAACCCTCCTTTTTTTTTTTTTTTTTTGAGATGGAGTCTTGCCCGGTCACCCAGACTGGAGTGCAATGGCATCATCTCAGCTCACTACAACCTCTGCCTCCCAGGTTCAACTGATTTTCCTGCCTCAGCCTCCCAAGTAGCTGGAGTTACCGGCACAAGCTACCATGCCTGGCTAATTTTTTGTATAGTAGAGATGGGGTTTCACCATGTTGGCCAGGCTGGTCTCGAACTCCTAACCTCATGATCCACCCACCTCGGCCTCACAAAGTGCTGGAATTACAGGCATGAGCCATGGCGCCCAGGCAGCTAAATCTCTTTTAAATTTAATTTAATTTTATTTATTTTAAGTAATTTTATTTATTTTGGGACGGAGTCTTGCTCTCTTGCCCAGGCTGGAGTGCAGTGGCATGATCTCAGGTCACTGCAACCTCTGCCTCCCTAGTTCAACTGATTCTCCTGCCTCAGCCTCCTGAGTAGCTGGGACTACAGGCGAGCACTGCAATACCCGGCTAATTTTTGTATTTTTAGGAGAGACAGGGTTTCACCATGTTGGCCAGGCTGGTCTCGAACTCCTGACTTCAAGTGATCTGCCCACCTTGGCCTCCCAAAGGGCTGGGGTTACAGGTGTGAGCCACCCCACCTGTCCCCCTCTCAGCTAAATCTCTAGAGGACAGAATTGGTTAGGCGGGTGCAGTTTTGTAAGACTTAGTATGAGAAAAAAAATGTAAACTATCTCCTTAATACTTTTTTTTTTTGAGACAGGGTTTTGCTCTTGTTGTCCAGGCTGGAGTGCAATAGCTCGACCTTGGTTCACTACAACCTCCGACTCCCGGGTTCAAGCGATTCTCCTGCCTCAGCCTCCCAAGTAGCTGGGATTACAGGCATGCGCCACCATGCCCCAACATTTTGTATTTTTAGTAGAGACAGGGTTTCTCCATGTTGGCCAGGCTGGTCTCCAACTCCTGACCTCAGGGGATCTGCCCGCCTCAGCCACCCAAAGTGCTGGGATTACAGATGTGAGCCACCACACCCAGCCTAATACTTTTTAATTTCAATGAGGTGTTAAGATGAAAATATTTTGGATATACTGGGTTAAAGAAAATAGATGACGAAAGTTCATTTCACTTGTTTCCTTTTACTTTTTAATGTGGCTAATGAAAAACTTGAAGCTCCATACATGGCTCACATGCTGTTTCCATTGGATGACACTGATGTTGAACATTACCTGACACATAGGTACTTGACAGATATTTGTTGAACGAATATACATCTGGGAAACAGCGGGACAGCCCTGTCTGAGTTTGTGTGGAGGGGTCAGGGTTATGGACACAGAACCTCATCAGAGAGATGGTGCCCCCCGTAGGATGGATAGTGCTTGGGCATGGCAGTGTGTAGGCCTGGGGACCCTTCGGTTTCTCATGCAACACATGTTTACTGAGCACATACTACTTGCCATGGAAGGGGAGGGAGCAATGCCATCCTGCAGGAGAAGTGCTCCCCCAAGGGAAGCCAAGGGCATCCAGCTGTGTCTTAGGGTGGGGGCTACCAGGGAAGCCCTCTCCTTGAAGGTGTCTGTTTTCTTCCCAAGTGACAACAAAAGGTGGGTGGGCATTAGGTAGGGGAGGAGAAGACTGCAGGAAGCAGTGGCTGCTCTGGGCAAAGGAACAGCACGTTCAAACACTTGGCAGCAAAAGTGGGCCTGGTGCTTGTTAGGAACAGAAAATTCCCTATGGTTCCGAGCACACCGGGAAGCCAGTGCTGTGGGGCTGGAGGCCTGACTGTCAAGGGCTTCAGAAGGAAGCCTCCTGAAGGCGATGGACTCACCCTGAAGGCAGGGGCACACCCCCAGGGTTTAAGTGTGTATGTGTGGGGGGGGGGGCGGTTTTCAGAAAGACCTCTCACCACTGTGTGGGGCACACAAGGAGAGCTAAGGGAAGAAGGGGAATGTCAGGAGCTCAGAAGGGCAGAGTGGGGTGATGACGGGCAAACGCACAGCTTGACTGGCAAGACACGGCGAGGCCTCCAAGGTGCAGTCCGATGAAGGCCCCTGGATTTGTCACTTAAGTCCTGGGTGATCTTATGGATAACAGCCCACTGGGTGGTGATGGGGGAGGGCAGACAGGAGGGGAGACACAGGACAGGGATGCCTACATAGGCAGCAGCTCTTCCAGTGCCTGAAAGGAGGAAAATGTGGGTGGTTGGAAGGGAAGGCAGGGCTGGGAGCGCGTGTGTTTTGGGAACTTTCTTCTGAGGACAGAAGCAACTTTTCCGTTCATAGCCTGGGGGAGCAGCAGTGGTGGGGGGGATGAAGATGGAGGAGAGAGGCATAACACAAGTCTGTGTTGTCCTCCGGCCTGCCTCCCACCCCCGCCCCACCTTCACCTCCACCTCCATGAAAGGGCCCAGTCCCCACCTCGACACAAGGCGGACAGGGAGGTTGTGTTCATAGGCCCCTGAGGACTGAGGCCTGCCCGGGGAAGGGACGCCTCTCCTCCTCTTGTCTCCCTGGACAGGTCTCTCCGGAGAGAGACAGACCTCCTGCAATGCCCTGGCAGATCAGCTGGTTTAGGGTGGTGGGGGGGAGCCATTGTGGCTGCTGCTGGCATCGGGTCCTGGCCGCCTCCGCAGGGCATATCCGAGATCTCTCTGTCTCTCTGTCTCTCTCTCTCTCACACACACACACACACACACACACGGAGGTCACGCAGGATGTCCACATGCGCACTAGTGAACAAGGATGTTTATGTGTCTAGGTGTGCACACACGCAGCCCGTGCAGGATGGACAGTGTGTGTGTGCACAATGACCTCACACAAAGCTCAAAAGGATGTGTGTACACAGCTCTCACGGGGGCACACATGTGTCTGTGTGCATGTGCACACACACAGCTCACCGGGGGGTCACGTGGGTCTGTGCGCACGAGAGGGCCTCACGCAGGCTGTACACATGCGCGCACATGCACGGCGCTCACATGTGCGAGCGCACACAGCTCACAGTGCGTATGTGTCCGTGTGTGCACACTCCCAGAGGTCCCACACGGGGAGGGGCACTCTCTCTGAACACGGAGAGTGCCTGAGAACGCTGGCATCAGTTGGTTTCATCCCTAGTAAAACCACCACCCTCCACCTTCCGCTCTGCTTTGCGCCTCGGGTCCACTCTCGCGAAACTGGCCTGCTTCCTTTCCACCTGGACCTGCCTGAGTTCATCCTCCGCCCACAGCTCGGCCGGCCCCAGGTGCCGCAGGCAGCCGCTGGGAGGCAGTAGGAGGCAAGAGCGCTGCGGCCTGGGCCGTCCCTACAGCTCGTCTCCTGCCGGGGCAGGTCCGGTGACAGCTCTGGCGGAAGCGGCTTCTGCCGTGCGGCCTTAGGTGGCGGGGTCCGGCCCTCGCCGTCCAGCCCTCGCCGGCCCGTTGCTAGATGGCCAGGTCCCCGCGGCCGGTGGCCGGTGACGCCTTGCCGCGGCCGCTGCCGCCGTCGCGGTGGCTGGCGGACGCCCGGTGCGCATAGGCGGGCGGGGCGCAGGGCTCGGGGTCGGGGTTCCGGGAGGGCAGGGCCGACGGCGGCGGCGGGAGCAGCTTCTGCGCCTCCTCGTGCGCACGGTTGCAGCGGTTGTGGCGTTCCTCGGCGCGCGGGCGGCCCTTCCAGAGCAAGTGGCCCAGCTCGGCCACGCTGAGCAGCGCCGACAGCAGCCCCACGGCGAAGTAGAAGAGCACGAAGACGGTCTTCTCGGTGGGCCGGCTCACGAAGCAGTCGACCGTGTGCTGGCAGGGCGGGCCGGCGCACGCGAAGTGCGGGGCCACGCGGAAGCCATAGAACAGCGCCTGGCCGCCCAGGAAGGTCAGCTCGGCCAGCAGGCGCAGCGCCACGCTCAGCAGGTAGCAGCGGCGCGCGCGGCGGGCGCGCAGGGCGCACGGCGCGCACTGGGCCTCGGGCCGCCCGAGGGCGCACGGCGCCGCTGCCTCCGCGCCGCCAGCCTCCTTGCCGGCCCGGTGCATGGAGTAGACGATGAACAGCACCGGGGGCGCCGAGAGCAGCAGGATGTGGAAGAGCCAGAAGCGGTAGTGGGAGACCGGGAAGGCGCGGTCGTAGCAGGTCTGGCGACAGCCCGGCTGCAACGTATTACACACGAACTCCTCTTGCTCGTCCTCGAACACGGCGCCGCCCACCGTGGCCAGCACCAGGATGCGGAAGATCAGCATAACCACCAGCCAGAGGCGGCCCAGGAGCGGCGACTGCAGTTGCACTGCGTCCAGCAGGGAGCCCAGGAACGCCCATTCCCCCATGGCGCTGGGGACGCGGGGCGGGGAGTCACGGTCTGGGGCAGGTCAGGGACCCCCGCCCCTTCCACGACCATCGGGGTGGGGGCCGTTGGGCCTTCTCTGACTTCAGGGTGAGCCTTGGGGTGGGAGAGGTCCGCGTTTATCGAGGAGACCAGTGTGAAAGGGAGGGCCACGGGAGGGCCAGAGGGGAGCAGGCCACGCTCAACTATGGGTTCCCTTCTCTTTGCAGCCAATGCGTGCTGGGGAGGAGTCCCCATTTGCGTTTTAGTCGCACCCCCGTGGGCCGTCGCGGTTCGACCCTGGGATCTTCAAGATCCCAGATTCTTAGGAAGGACCTTGGAGATCAGTTGGGCCAGCCCCTGACTTGCCTGGTGGAAGCAGAAACCCAGCGGTGCCCTTAGCTGTAAAGGATGCTGTGGAAGAGTGGAGCCTCGAACCCCGGCCTCCAGACCCAATTTGGTGCCCCTGGGAGAGGGGAGAGTGGCAGAGGCAGCCAGACCATTTCTTTCTCGGCCCGCTATTTCTCTCACCATTTTGACTGTAGTGAACTCCTCTCAAGGTGGGGGGGAAGGGTTGACATAGAGGCAAACTCACTTTCATAACTGTCACAGGGTCCTTTGTCGGAGGTGTCCCTGCTCTCCTACTCCAGGGTAGTGGGAATGCGGGCCCAGGCCTCTCCCCTCTCCTCCCCCGCCTCCTGTGCCTCCAGCCTCCACATCTCCTGAGAGCCTCCCCCGCCCCACACTCACACAGGTCCCCACACACCCCTGGTGTTCCTAGACCATCACCCAACCCCACTCACCCTGGGGCCCGGGCTGGGGTGTCAGAGCTGAGCCAGGGACCTTGGGAGGTGGCTGGGACCGGTGCCTCCTGCTCCCTCTTTCATTTTCCTTTTCGGATTTGGCCGGGATGGAGGACAGGACAGGATGGCTGAGAGGGGCTAGCGCTCCCCCTTCTCTTAAAGGAACAGGGTGACCCTGCTGGCTGGCTCCGCCTTTGGGAACAGCACGGGCCACGCCCCTTGCTGGGCTGTGCGGCCTTCACTTTCTGGCCCCCCCACCTCCCCACCTCATAGCTACGTCTCCAGCTGGAAATGGGGGAGGGGGTTAACCAGAGCCACATCCTTTATCGAGGGAGCTGGGGGGTTCCGGGAAGCCCTTCCCGACAGACTCTCAGCCTGGAAGCTAGATCCACTATGCACTAATCATGCCCTGTGAAGATGTTTGGCTGCTGGAGTTTAAAGGGTAGCAAACATCCAACAGCTTCTGGGTCCAGCTCTGCCACCACTCACTTGGGACAAATCGTTTGGCCGGACTGAGCCAGGCTTTCCTGCGTCATCAACCATGCTGGCCAGGCCTGCTAACCCTCAAGTTTCCTTCCAGCTCTACATCTTTTTTTGAGATGGGGTCTCTCTATTAGTCCAGGTTGATCTTGAACTCCTGGCTTCAAGTGATCCTCACACCTCAGCCTTCTGCGGAGCTGGGATTCTCTAGTTCTCAATATTGAGTTCCCAACCATGTGACAGAGAACCAAAAAACCCTTGGGCCTGGAAAAAAAAATCCCATATGGAAAATCATTAAAATATCCTAAGTGGCTGGCTTTAGTAGTTAAATAAAATCTTTGGTTTCCTTCCCACTTTTCTGTAATTTCCAGCTTTACTATAATAAACATGTTATTTATTTATTTATTTATTTATTTTTGAGATGGAGTCTCATTCTGTTGCCCAGGCTGCAGTGCAGTGGCGCTGTCTTGGCTGAATGCAGCCTCTGTCTCCCGGGTTCAAGTGATTCTCCTGCCTATGCCTCCCAAAGTGCTGGGAATACAGGCGTGAGCCACCATGCCTGTGCTAACATGTCATTTTATAATGTAAAGAATAGAGAGAAGACTTCTTCCCCCCCGCCCCCCCCGCCAGAATGCTCTGAATTGAGAGTTCCTTCCTACTGCCCTGGGTGGCAGGGGAAGCTGTTTTATAGAGAAGGGAGTAAGGGTGACCCACAGTGATCTGAGTGGTCAGGGAGGGGACACTCCAGGCTGAGATGTTTGGTTGTCTGCTCTGCCTTTCTAGGGGTCCGCCTGAGTGCATAGCACACCCCGCCTCACCTGCACATCTGCTGGGTCAGGCCGGGTGTGGAGCCCCGTTAGCTCCTTAATACCAACAAGCTCGTTCATTTCTCTGTCAACAGTGGCAGGAGGGCACTATTTACACCTGGGGAAACTGAGACTCAGAGGGTCTAAGCCACACGCCTGCTGTTACAAAGCCGGTAAATAGCAGGTTCAGGCCTAAGCGGGGTCCTACCGGTTCTGGAGCCCAAGCTCTTGAGCCTTTCGTGGAAACATCCAGCCTGGCTGGGCTTCCCAGGTGGTGTCCCAGGGCCTGACAGTGCCCAGCAGGGGCTGCCTCTGTGCCAGGCTTGTGTGGGCTGGCGGGAGGTCATTCCTGTCCCTCGAGGAGGAAGGGTATCGGGACTCACCTCCTCGGCCACAGTTCCTCTCCCTGTCAGCCACGGGGGCCTGCGTGGTTTTCCATCTGCTGACAGAAACCCCCAGACCCACTCTCAGGAAGGGGAGGGCATGAGCCCTCCACCCACCACCCCTTCCAGCTCAGGGGCCCAGCCCCCACTGGAAAAACTCTAGGTGAGCCCCTGCTTGCGTGTGCTGGGGAACCCTCCCACCCTCATGCAGGCTTCCCTTGGGAGTGGGCCTGGGTGGGGGACGCTGCCCTGGAGAATGTCCAAGGGAAAAAGCACATGCTGGGCCCCATATTCTGAAAACAGGATGTGGGTTGGGGGCGCTGCTGATCTCCCCCTCCCGACCTCCCTCTGCCCCCAGCAAAGCTGCTACCCACCCCCTGCCCCAGCCACAGGGGCTCAGGGTCATACCTCACCTCCCCTGACTGTCCAGGAATGGTCCCCACCCTGTCCTGTCCCTGTAGCTCCTGCTGGGCCAGGCCATCGACCCCGCCTGGAAAAAGCCCATCAGACCCCATTTGCCTGCGTGAGTGGAAAGCTGCCCAGGCGGTGGGCCAGGGTGGGGCGGGAATGGAGAGCCCATGGTCACCCAGTGCTGTCCACAGCCTGTGATGCCACAGGGCCAGACTCGGAGACTTGACAATCTCAGGCCCCATCCTCCTTCCCTGATAGCGCCATCCAGCCTGAGAGGAGGTGTTGCTGATGCTGCCCAGATCTGGTAGCTGGCAGCCCCATTCTTGGCCATGCTTGAAGACAGGGGCTGGCCTGAGAGGCTGACCCTGGCCCGTTCGGCCTCTGTTCCAGACACTTCTCCCTGGCAGTCGGGTTGTCGGCCACTGCTCACATCGGACACAACTGGGTGCATGTACGTGTTTCTACCCAGTAAATTAATCCCAGTGACAGAATCAAGACCAGCCTCGCCAATATGGTGAAACCATCTCTACTAAAAATACAAAAATTAGCCAGGCATGGTAGTGCACACCTGTACTACCAGCTACTAGGGAGGCTGAGGCAAGAGAATTGCTTGAACCCAGGGGGCGGAAGTTGCAGTGAGCCAAGATCACAACACTGCACTCTAGCTTGGGCGACAGAGCAAAATCTGGTGTGTGGAGGGGAAGAGCCGAGGGTGGCAGTTCACACCTGTAATCCCAGCACTTTGGGAGGTTGAGAAGGGCGGATCACAAGGTCAGGCGTTCGAGACCAGCCTGACTAACATAGTGAAACCCCATTTCTACTAAAAATACAAAAATTAGCCAGGTGTGGTGGTGTGCGCCTGTAATCCCAGCTACTCGGGAGGCTGGGGCAGGAGAATCGCTTGAATTTAGGAGGCAGAGGTTGCAGTGAGCCGAGGTTGCGACACTGCACTCCAGCCTGGGCAACAGAGTGAGACTCTGTCTCAAAAGAAAAAAA